CTTATTATCTTATAAGAACAGAACAGATAACTCACCTGAGGATGCGGGTAGGTGTGTGACTGTGAGCCGTAGTGGTAAGGCCAGGTCTTGTGGAAGTTGTACAGGGACGAAGGGAAGTAGGCGTCCGCCCCTAGGGCGAAGTTGTGGTTGCTGCTGCTGCTGCTGTTGCAGGGAGGCTGGTAGGCGGAGTTCCAGAAGGAGGGAGGGAGCTTTCTGTGACACATTAGCGGGGTCTCTGCAAGATAAAGGAGGACGTGGGTATTATTTTTTTAGTCTTGGCACATTAATGGGATCTCTGCAAGATAAAGGAAGAGGTAGGTATGATATTTTGTGCCTGAAAGATAAAGGAGGACGTGGGTATGATCCTTTGTGTCTGAAAGATAAAGGACGGTGTGGGTACAATCTTTTGTGTCTGAAAGATAAAGGACGGTGTGGGTGCAATCTTTTGTGTCTGAAAGATAAAGGACGGTGTGGGTATGATCTTTTGTGCCTGAAAGATAATGGACGGTGTGGGTATGATCTTTTGTGTCTGAAAGATAAAGGAGGGCGAGGGTAAGATCTTTTGTCTGTGATACATGAATAGGGTCTCCGCAAGTTTGAGACAAATTAGTGAGGTCTTTGCAAGATAAAAGACGGTGTGGGTATGATCTTTTGTTTGTGACACATCAATGGAGTCTCTGCAAAATGATTTGTAGGTGACAAATTAATTATGTCTGAGCAAGATCTTTTATCTGTGACACATTAATGAGGTCTCTGCAAGATAAAAGACGACGTGGGTATGAGCTTTGTGTCTGTGGCAAATTAATGGGATATCTGCAAGATCTTTTGTTTGTGACAAATTGATAGGATCTCTGCAAGATCTTTTGTTTGTGACAAATTGATAGGATCTCTGCAAAATAAAGAATAACGTGTCTATGACACATTAGGGGTCTCTGAAAGATCTTTTGTCTGTGACAAATTAATGGGGTCTCGGCAAATAAAGGACGGTGTGGGTGTGAACTTTTGTGTGTGACGAATTCATGGGGTCTCTGCAAGATAACGGAGGACATGGGTGCGATCTTTTGTGTGTAACAAATTAATGGGGTCTCTGAAAAAAAAAAGAACAAAGTGAGTATAATCTTTTTGAGTAACAAATTAATTGGAATTCTGCGAGATAAAGGACTGTGTGTTTGTGACAAACTAACGGGGTCTCTGCAAGATAAAAGACGACGTGGCTATGATCTTTTGTTTCTCGACATATGTGAATTTAACTCTCTAGTCGTGCCCACTGGAATAGAGATATCACATAACAATTTGACTTGGCACTGATATTATAAACACAATATAGATTTTTTAAAACGTCTTGAGGTGAATTTGTTAATTTAATGACAGGATATCGGGGATCTCCACTCCCAAGCCAGGAATAAAAAAATAAAAAAATAAAGCAAAAATAAAACAAAAACAAAAATATAACAAATCAAAATGTGACGAAAATACCCTAAAATAAGGACATTTATAATATTCAAATTTTGGGGTTCAAACGTGGAACCTGTTGGCAATAAAAGCTTAAAGCAGTGTTTCAGTGATACAGCTATCTCTTGACGATAGAGATTCTTCTTTCCTATGAAACATCTATCGTCCTTATCTCCCCTTCTTCATTTTTATGTTTGTTTGTTACTCTCTTGTAACTCCTCGAGCGAATCTTCTGGCGCTCATATGACCTTTTGCAGTTGCGAGCGCTGTAAAACCTCTTCTAAAACTAAAGAGTGCGGATCAAG